TTTTTTTTATCTTGATTGTAAGATAAAATATATTTAAATATATTCTGTAAGATTAGGTTTATGTGGTGAGGCTCTTTCTCGAACCCCTCTCAATGAGATGTTTTGTACACCGAATTCTTCCTTGATTGTATATTTACAGAGATTTAGTTTTAATCCATTTTTATAATTTTTGTCTTATTTGTGTTAAAAATCGTAATGATATATATATATATATATACATATATATATCTCCGTTTTCTGTTTGCAATAATTAGCTTGCCGCCCTTTGATATGATGCAGCTGTACATTCGCAAACTAGGCACCGTATTTTGTGAAAGGGAAAGAACAAAGGCAGGAGTAGTAATTAGAAGAAGAAAAAGAAAATAAAAAGCGAGGGCCCACTTCTCGAACTAGAGTCTTTTCGGCTGAGAGAATTGAAGTCAGATTCGGACCAGAAGAAGGTCATGACTAAGCTTAACATATATGGGGAGTATGTAGTGTAATGTAACATATCGATGCTGTGTCACTATTAAATATGCCCCCACAACTATTTTTTTTTCCATTTTTTAAAATAATAAAATTGCTGTAATATATATACCCAAAAAAAAAACGTCATTCTTGTTAAATATATTTTCTAACCCTGCCTTTATATATATATATATATATAATTACAGTCATCAAGTTTAAATAATCTAACTTTACCTTTTTCTCTTTTTCCTGTCGTATTTTTTTCTTAAAAGTATTACTATTTTATAATTATTTGAAAAATATTTCTATTTTAGAATTATAAACATATATATATATATATATATATATTTAACTTACAGTGATATTTGTAATTTTTAAAGAAAAATTATTGTCACGATTTTTAGAATTAAAAAATAAAAATTCTATTTCTTATTTTCATAGATTTTGCCCGTCTAAGTGGTAATTATGCCTACCAAGTACCAACCTTAGCATGGTTCTCCCTACCACTTGTTCTCCTTTGATATTCCAGCTGGAGCCTCGGACCTCCCTTTGATTTGAATCGTAAAAAATATATTTTTTTCCTCAGCAGATAAAATATTGAATTTATAATAATGTTTTAATATATCAAATTACATTTACGTTGGTTTTGCAATGCACATACACGTACGCTGCGGACATTTTGTCATATACAATTGATAGGTTAGATGAACTATCAATTCTTTCCTTTAAAATAAAATGTAAAATTGTTAAATTTGATTGGGAATTCGGACCACATAAACACACTGGTCATGTGTAGCAATGAGATACACAAAAAAAAAAATTTGAATATCATATCCACAAATCTCACTCTCATGATTATTTGGTCTGTCCTATATATCATATGATTTAAATTGTTTGTATCAATGACCTTATTTAGACCGTCGATAAAATAAAAGTGTTTCCGTTCTTTTATATTTTGTTCTTTCTTTCTAATTTAATTTCTGCATTTTATTTTTCAATATGGTATCAGAGCCTGGTTGCGATCTGAACTATATGTTTCTCTTATCTAATTTTCTAATCTCTTCTTTCTGTTGCGTTTTGGATGTTCATATATCCAAATCGTTCAAAGGGAGAGTAAAAAAACCAGATTCAAACGATGTGCTATGACAAAAAGAAGTCAAAGCTAAAAACTCTAAGATCAAGCAAGATGCTATGACAAAAAGAGTTAAAGCTAGAACTTTAAAGTCAAGCGAAGTGATTTGAAAGAGGTTAATACTCTCTAAATGAATGAAATTTAGTTTCTATGGATTGTTCTAATAACAGTGAAGATTTTCATCATTTTGTTGTATCTTCAAGATTGATTTTTGAATTCTTTCAAAATCAATCTTGAGGGGGAATGTTGAAATAGAACAAAATAAGTTCCATGCGAGTCGAAGCCCAGAAAGGGTTTTGGGCTTGGCTGATGTTTTGACTCGGTCGAGTCAAAGTTTGACTCGGACCGAGTCAATACTCAATGGGCCGAGTCAAGAGTTGACGATGGGCTTGGGCTGATTCGTTCTGACTCGACCGAGTCAGAGTTCTGACTCGGACCGAGTCAATACTCGGAAAAAGTCTCTTACGGCTGTTAGTATTTGGACCGGTAGTCTTTAACCATGTGATTAAAAGAAAAACACCATCCAATAGTGTGTTTAAATACAGATCGTATACACAAACGATACCTAAAAATGGATTAGGAATCGTAAATAATATTAATAACGTAGTTGGTTTTAGTGTTATAGAGGCTGGGATTACGAATAACCAGACATTAATCAATTATTCTTTAGGGTAATTAAATTTCGGAATGGTTAGAGAGCCTACGGACCACATAGTTGTTTCGCTTTATAAAACATTAATAAGAAAGCGAAACATTCTCTTCTTTAAGCAAATACACAGTGTATCCGCTGGATTGTTGTGTGTGTGTGTGTATATATATATATATATATCATTTTCTATTTTTCATAATTATTTTTATGAGAACAATGGATCGCCCATGACCACCCACGTTGAATTGAGTTAGAGGTGATCTAACCAAGGCAATAACAGCTCGAGTTCTGATCCTTTATCTCACGATATCATATGTTGAACAAGGGCATGGTTTGAGCCACCCTTCAAGTTCAACCGCTTTCTCGTCTTGGCAAATCGACTAATAAAATAGATGCAACTTCATCTATAGCGTGGCCACGCGTTTTCATAGTCCGACTTCCACGAGAGGGCCCAGCGATATCTCTCCTATTGAGGAGGTGATAAGTCCCATATTGCATGTCTATTATCTCCATATGATTCGTGAACGTATCTGATCAACGCCGTAATAATCATCCGGTTAAAGACGACGTTTGACGCAGTCAAGACACGCCACTCCTCATATCAGATACTCTAGACATCTCAGGTCTGAGGATCCATGAACGAACCGCTTTATGAGATTCAAGTCATGACTCTTTCCATGTGACAATCTCATGCGGGTCAACCAGTCACTCATTCACAACGAGTACCCATGATTGTGAAATGCATCCAATGCATCGATCACACCTCATGCTAGTCTTAATTCAACATTGTTCCCACAATATTGACTGACTAGGGAGTTTAGAATCATTCAACAATATCTCGGACAATAAATTCTTCGATCTCTATACAATAATCGGTAAACCACGCGAAATAAGTAAAACTGATTGGTTTAAGAGAAAATTCAGTCTAAAAATATCAAATCCACAAATCTTGTACAAAAAAGATTTGTCATTCTCAATTGGGAATTTTTTTTGTATGGTTCTTTATAGAATAACCCTTTAAAAAGCTTGCTTTTGAATAAAATTTAGAATCTTTATAGAATAATATTTAAAATATAATAGTTGCCTTATTATAATGTTCAAAAGATGTGATTTTAGTACTGCTTAATCGTGTCATCAATAGGCCACCACTTCCATCATTCCTCCCCATTAGATACTTACGAGAGGTTCATTTTATTTTAAATTTATTTAAAGTTTTTTAATAATGTGGTCCAAAAAAAAAATAATTGGTCGAAATTGAAAATTCATTTTATCGACGGTCTAAATAAGGTCATTGATACAAACAATTTAAATCATATGATATATAGGACAGACCAAATAATCATGAGAGTGAGATTTGTGGATATGATATTCAAATTTTTTTTTTTGTGTATCTCATTGCTACACATGACCAGTGTGTTTATGTGGTCCGAATTCCCAATCAAATTTAACAATTTTACATTTTATTTTAAAGGAAAGAATTGATAGTTCATCTAACCTATCAATTGTATATGACAAAATGTCCGCAGCGTACGTGTATGTGCATTGCAAAACCAACGTAAATGTAATTTGATATATTAAAACATTATTATAAATTCAATATTTTATCTGCTGAGGAAAAAAATATATTTTTTACGATTCAAATCTTGCTTTTGAATAAAATTTAGAATCTTTATAGAATAATATTTAAAATATAATAGTTGCCTTATTATAATGTTCAAAAGATGTGATTTTAGTACTGCTTAATCGTGTCATCAATAGGCCACCACTTCCATCATTCCTCCCCATTAGATACTTACGAGAGGTTCATTTTATTTTAAATTTATTTAAAGTTTTTTAATAATGTGGTCCAAAAAAAAAATAATTGGTCGAAATTGAAAATTCATTTTATCGACGGTCTAAATAAGGTCATTGATACAAACAATTTAAATCATATGATATATAGGACAGACCAAATAATCATGAGAGTGAGATTTGTGGATATGATATTCAAATTTTTTTTTTTGTGTATCTCATTGCTACACATGACCAGTGTGTTTATGTGGTCCGAATTCCCAATCAAATTTAACAATTTTACATTTTATTTTAAAGGAAAGAATTGATAGTTCATCTAACCTATCAATTGTATATGACAAAATGTCCGCAGCGTACGTGTATGTGCATTGCAAAACCAACGTAAATGTAATTTGATATATTAAAACATTATTGGTTTTAGTGTTATAGAGGCTGGGATTACGAATAACCAGACATTAATCAATTATTCTTTAGGGTAATTAAATTTCGGAATGGTTAGAGAGCCTACGGACCACATAGTTGTTTCGCTTTATAAAACATTAATAAGAAAGCGTTTATAGAATAACCCTTTAAAAAGCTTGCTTTTGAATAAAATTTAGAATCTTTATAGAATAATATTTAAAATATAATAGTTGCCTTATTATAATGTTCAAAAGATGTGATTTTAGTACTGCTTAATCGTGTCATCAATAGGCCACCACTTCCATCATTCCTCCCCATTAGATACTTACGAGAGGTTCATTTTATTTTAAATTTATTTAAAGTTTTTTAATAATGTGGTCCAAAAAAAAAATAATTGGTCGAAATTGAAAATTCATTTTATCGACGGTCTAAATAAGGTCATTGATACAAACAATTTAAATCATATGATATATAGGACAGACCAAATAATCATGAGAGTGAGATTTGTGGATATGATATTCAAATTTTTTTTTTTGTGTATCTCATTGCTACACATGACCAGTGTGTTTATGTGGTCCGAATTCCCAATCAAATTTAACAATTTTACATTTTATTTTAAAGGAAAGAATTGATAGTTCATCTAAAGACTTTCTGCATGTGCATGAAACCAGACAGATACATAAAGCACAATACGAAGAATCTGATCATTTCAGTTGAATCGATTTTTTTTAAACAAAATATTTTAAAATTTAAAAGAAATATAGACTATGTAAATAGGACACGATTTAACCCATTAATTCTCAGTCTTTTTGAGGGAAAAAACGAAAAAATCAGAAGCTCGAGAGAAGAAAAAAAAGGAAGATTTTTTTTTATCCAAAAAAAAAAGAAAAAAAAAGGAAGATTTCCCAAAAGTGAACACCAAAACCCCCACTTAAACCCTAAATAAATAAATAAATAAATCCCGTTTTCCAGTAATTAATTATGCTTAATTTACCTCAATATCTGTCCTAAAATTGTGTTTTTCAGCCTAATACCATTGTATATCGTATCACAACATACGATATTTGGCGATCAGAAAATATTATTTATATACATATAAATATAGACTGGAAATAAATAAACATAAATACAATTGAACGGGATTGTGTTTAAGCATCCGAGAAGAAATGGATGCCATGAAGACTTCATATGTCCAATGGCCTCTTTTGTTTGTTTCCACTATTCCCTTTCCTTTTCAATTTTCAACTCTCCATTTATAAAACACTTTCATTGATCCTTCACATTTTAATTCTATTTTTTTAAAGTTTATTGCCATTTTTAATAATATTTATTTTTAAAAAAATATTGACATATTACTTGTAAAATCATCATCCTTCCTCCTCTGTAGGAAACACCCATCATTGCCCCCAACAATCCTTTTCATCCTTAAGAGACCTGAGCTTCTTCTTGTTCTTCCTCTTGTTTCATTCCCTTCCAACCTATGCATACGCACATACACATATACAGACATGCATACATATACATATTCGTATACCTCCTATCCCTCTATATATCCTTTTTTTCCTCCCCATTTTTCTCACCTCTCTCTTTTCATTGATCATCATCAACCCACATCACAAAATCGGATCTTTTAGGGTTTTTTCCCCCTTGTTTTCGTCCCCTGATGGAACCATCTTCTGCAAACTCAGTGAACGGATTCTACTCCTTCCTCAACAGATCAATGGAGGATCTCGAGAGGGCTCACCAATCCAACAACTTCATGTCCGTGCAGTTCCTGCAGCGAGTGCTCTGCCTTCTCCGGACATCGCACTCTCATCTCACCCTCCTCGTCCAGAAACTCCAGTTGCCGGTCGGAGACAAGTGGCTCGACGAGTACATGGACGAGACCTCTAAGCTCTGGGACGCCTGCCACGTCATCAAATCCGCCGTCTCCGCCATGGAAAACTTCTGCTCCGCCGGAATCTCCATCGCCTCCTCCCTCGATGGCCAACGCCGCCTTTCCCCTCAGCTTTCCCGCCAGGTACGGACCCTGACGAATCATGGGTCCTCCGAAAAACTCAATTTTTCCTTCTCCTAGAAGGGTTGCTCGATCTGTTTATTTCCCTTTTTTCAGGTGATTCGGGCGATATCTGGTTGGAGAAGAGAAGCGTTAGGGTTGGAGGAAGAGAACAGAGCGTTAATGGAGAATCGGGTTCAAACACTGCCGTTCTGGTCCGATCAGACATCGGCGGCGGCGACGATGGAGTCATCGAAGGTGCAGAACGGCTTCAGCGGATTCCGAGGGGTACTATACGCGACGAGGGACATGAACTCGCTTCTCCTAACGATCCTGATGCACGGCCTCGTGTACTGTATACCCGGCGACGCAACTCCGCCGCAGTCTCCGGGAGGAGGAGGCGGCGGAGTTGGTTTGGCGGCGGCGATGGGGCGGCTGCAGGAGAGGGTGGCGGGGGAGGAGGTGGGGGTGAGGAAGGGGATACTGTTGAACGAGTACAGGCGGAGCAAGGCGGCGATGGAGGAGCTGAAGGCGGAGGTGGAGAGGCGGAGCGGCGGAGGAGGAGGAGAGGAGACGGAGAGGTGGCTGAGAGAGAAGGTGGAGAACGTGAAAGGGTGTATTGGGAGTTTGAGGAATGGAACAGAGAGTATTGTGTCTCAGATTGATGATTTCTTCGATGAAATTGTTGAAGGAAGGAAGAAACTTTTGGATTTCTGCAGTCACAGGTAATTTAACCAAATTCCCAATGAAAAGAGAAAAAAAAAAAAGGTGGACTTCGGGTTTAGAATGGAATCAGTTGGTGTCTTTCTCGTCTGTCTACTTGTTTGCTTCTTTCTTCCCTTTATTCTTCCAGTGGCAGAATACAATATATATATATATACATACATATATTTGAAATGAGTATCGACAATTGATTTCAATGAGAGCAAATAGCGTTGAGAGAAAAAGGCAATCTACGGAACTAGGAATGGAACCAGAGAAAGGAAGAGAGGTTGAAACCAAGAAGCTGTGGATTTTTTTTTAAAAATTAAAAGTAGCATTGCAAGAAGGAAAAGTGGCAAAAGGGCATCTACTATCTAACCTAAGCTCCCTGTTTGGAGTTAATAAAGCGAGACACAGTCAAATGATTAAAAATTTGGGGTTTTGATTTTAGAGAGATTTGGGTCTTGCTTTCATGATTACTCGGTCATCTTTTCTCATCATTGCATTGCTTTGGCGTGTTTTTGGTATATAGAGAGATTTGTGGGGTTCATAATAACAACATGAATAAACGAAATCCTGTGGGAAAGCTTGCCCTTTGATTGTCTTCCACTACCATTTTTTTTTTGTTATGCATGGTCTCGAGCTTTGACACTGCCATTAGTGTTATCAGCTTCACCACAGAGAGAGAGAAAGCCTCTCTTCCACTTGAAGAATCATATGCCACTATTGTACATGGTAATCAAGTATTTGACATTTTTTTTTATATTCCATCTCCTTTTATGATGGTGTATACCCATCATATACCATGTATCAATATATACACATAGATAAACCTAGATAGAATATAGGGGAGAGAGAGAGAGAGAGAAAGAGAGAGAGAGAGAGAAAGAGATGTCACTATCAAAAGTAACGAATAGGAGAATCTAAATGGCTTATAAAAGAGAGACTGACCAGAATTCCATGCTTTGCATCCCCCCAGGATACCACTCTTCCATTTTCAGCTTATTCACCACAACCCACCAAAAAAATATTAAAAAATTAAGAAAAAGGACTAACATTTTCTCTCTCCATAATCATAACAATAATAACAAATTGATTTTCTTTGTCTAGTAACACATAAGAGCAATGACAGACAGAGGTCAGAGACATTTCTTGCTTGCTTGCAGAAATTATTTGTGTTCCCCATCATCATATTAACACTCAGAAATCATAACATTCTCTCACCCTCTTGCAAAGTGTATATATATAGAGACACATATCCATACATGTGCATCATCACTTCAACTCAGCACAACCATTATGTATGCGTATTACTTGTACATGTACATATACACACAAATGTAAAAAGAATGAGCGTAAAACAGGTGATTTCTAAGTGGAAAAACATGTTTTTTTCACTGAGTGTAATCTCAACTGTTGATCTAAGGGCATTTACAATTTTACCATTGGCAGATATCAGAGATTCTTATATGTATATGGAATGGAAGTATCCTTAATGCAGTGAAAATGGATTCTTTTTACCTATCATCACTCCTCCAGGGGAACTGCTTATGGCACTCTTGTTGAGTCTGATATTTTGCCCATCTGGGAGACTTTCTGAAACTCCTTGCTTGAAATCAGAAGGCCGAAGATTCAGACTTTCAGTTCAGAAAGATATATATACAAGGAGCTGAGATGGGTCTGATAACAGACTCCAGACTGAACATTTGGCCATCATGTTAGCTGAGTTCACCACCGACAAACTCGAGAGAGAAGGAAACATAAAGGGATACACTTAAGTAATTAGTAGAGGCAATGAGCAAGTCACTGGTCCTCAAGGCATTAGCTTTTAGTTTACAGGAAACTGATTCATGAATAAAAAGAATGACAGGAGCATGAAAATTGCAAAACCGCACCACAAATCATTGTGATTCATACACACTAGATTAGGTGCATGGACTTACTGAACTGCTAAATTAAGAATCTAAACAAAAAGTCAAATCCATGTACCTGTTAAGCCCAACTGGCAGTTCCTGCTTAACAAAGCGGATGCCGGAAATCTGAGCATTTCTCTTGACCTGTCGCATGTATGCTTTGTACTGTGGCGAAGCCACCTGGTTCAGGGCAATGGCGATGGCTAGAGAAGCTAACATGGTTTTTGTGAGGACCCCCCTTGCAGTGATGGGTAGACAGGCAAAATTTATTCTCTCTTCGAAATCGTAATGGCTACTGATATCTCACAGTGACTATGGTTCATGCTTTGCTTCATTGGCTCCAACCCTCTCCCGTAAAATATAATCCCACTCATAGTTTTGAGTGTTGTTGAGATAACAATATCACAGTAATAGAATGGATTTGAGCATTCCTACAGTTGTTAATAACAACATATATATTCATTGAGAGGGTAACCAGTTAGCCATTTCAACTTTCAACATAACAAAAATTGATCCATAGGATTCTGAATAAGACAAGCAACATGTACTAAAACATTCTAGCACCTACTCATTATGTATGGAGAGACATATAACCGAGACGATTACAAATATGAAATAATGTTTACCACTTCGCTCTACCTATCGATGATTCCATGAGTCCATGACCCATGTAATATACGAAATTCTCAGAGGCTATCAGTTGGAATCGCTTCCCTTTTGACTTGCCTCTTCTTCTCCTTCTCCATGATATCGTAATTCAGGATCAGCTTCTTCAATCGAGCCCAGGATCAACCCCAAATCTCTTGCTAGGGTCCCTAAGGAGAGATCAGTTTTGGGAAAGGGACAGAAAGTGCATATGAGAACCGAAGCTCTCTGAATCGAAATTCTAAGGGAAGGTGTAGCAGCAACAGAAACATCGACAACAGTTTCTGAAGAAGCAGCATCGAAAACATCGAAATCTTCCCCTGCGATTTGATCCTCCTGAGGTTTCCATTCCGAAGAAACCCATAGATTCAAAACGCGGATTTTGTTTCTTCGAGAGATAAGAGGAACCCAGAGGAAATGATTCGAATTGGATAGATCTCTCTGGAGAGAGAAGAAAGAGGGGTTGTGGGTTACCGGCTGAACCAGTAAGGAACTGGCCCCTAATGGCTAATTGTAAATATTATCAACTAATTATTTGTTTTATTTATTACGTAACATGGCCCAATACATTATACATATGACCTTATTCGGCCTAGGGCTTTTAGGAATCGAGTTGGGCAAGGAGCTCATGGGCCTTAAAAAGCAGCCCAAATTGACTCGCACACCACGCCGTCTGGCTTGACTGACGCGTTTTACGAGAACGACACGCATTCTTCTGCCAAATTCTCGTTGACGGATCACGGTCATGTAGTCTTGTAATTCCACAAACATTTTCAAATGCTTTTTGACATTTCGTCGGTCCAAAACATTTATTTGAGATCTCGTTATTGAAAAATAAAACTCAATAACTAATGCATATCTATTGACTTAATAGGTATATCCATTTATGATGCAGGTTCTACTCAAATGTAATTTCGTGTATTCATGAGTTTTATTTATTAATATAAAACCTAAAAAACATTGTCGATTGAATTCGAATTATGCACGGCTATTCAAATAATGTAAAATCTCTATAAAATTTTACTAAATCTGCAAGAATAAGTCTACCAATGTTGTCTAATAATGCAAAAAGCGAGTATGACCGAATCTTACTAATTTTGTACAATAATAATAATAATAATAATAATTAAGAATTTGTTTTATGACTGCATATTAGCAAAACAATAAAGGTTATAAGTAGAATCAGAGATAGTTATTTCATTTTGTGTGTCTAAAAAGGTATATTATTTATGTTATGTTCTTACCAATTTTATCAATTTATTCTCATATTATGTTCTAAATGTTTTGGAGATACATGAAGATATTATATTTTAAATTATATAATTTTTAATTTTTCAAATTTACATCTCAAATAACACATTAAACTCAGATTTTTTTTTAAAATAAAGTATACCAATCATGTTAATTATATATCCGATATGTGGTAAGCAAAAGTTATATATTTATTTCACGGAAATTCATCGTAATTGATTTTCTTTTTACTATTTTTGAATGTACAAATAAAGAACATCTTCCAAAATGACGCAAAACATTAATTAATTTAATGATTTTGTTAATTGAAGTTAATGACTTGACAAATAAAATTGTAGTATGAACCTTTGAAAACAATAAAAACATCCAGAAGGGTCAAACGCATAATAAATATCATTTAGACAGTTATTATTTCATTTCCCATTAAAAAAAAAAAACCTTTCCTTCGCAAAATTTTAAAAGGACTGAAATTTCCTTCTCGTCTCCCTTCAAATCTGACATCGTTGATCTCTCTCTCTCTGAGATGAAGAACAAAGGTTCCAGAAAGCTATCGTTGACATGGATTCCGTTTCTCTGCATCTCTTCTTTCGCTCTCGGAGCAATCTTCACCTCCAGGTTGAATAAGTTTCCTCTTCCTCTTCCTCTGCATCTGTCCTTTTTTCCTCCCCTTTGTACTAATCTACTCCGCGTTGAATTCGGTGATATATTCGTGTTTCTATGCTGTTTCTGTTCGATTTTGATGATGGGTTTTGATTTTTGTTGCATGTGGAATCTATTCATTTCAGGTTGTGGGCGCCGTCGTCCGATTCCGGCAGTCAGCTCATTTCTCAGCACATGCGTGATCATGAACTTCAGATAGTTTCCGACGACTGTTCTGATAAGAAAGTATGTTTATTGATACGATTGAATCGTTTGCTTTCGGGATTTCATCGGAATTTTGCTTGGGATTTTGTTAGTGTTCGATGAATAGCTACAGTACTAAGGGAATGGTTCATGGATCTTTCAATTTCACAGTCATGTGTATGCTTGTGGATTATATTACCAAATGATCAGTTCATATATTTTACCAGCTTCATTGACTGAATCCATGGCGATATTTCCCTTGTATGTTATATGTTAGTCATTTTATAAGACTCGTTTGCTGTGGATCTGGCGATTGAAGCTTGGTTGTTCATGTTTTCTTGCTTTTCATCTGATCTAATGTAGAAAAAGACACGGGGTAAAGGTGCACTGGAGGAGGTTTTGCGAACCCGTGAAGCAATACAGTGAGTGATGATGAATTCCTTAGATTTAACTTGATTTTGTTTCATTATGATTCTTTCTCTGATCCTCTTTTGTTGCATCTGTGGGGAAGGGTGGACGGGTCACTGGACAAGTCAGTTTCAATGCTTCAGATGGAGCTGTCAGCAACACGGAGTTCTCAAGAGACGGGAGATGGCTCAGGGACAACCTCTGAATCGGAAGGAAACCCGAGGAAGAAAGTTTTCATGGTTATTGGGATTAATACCGCTTTTAGCAGTAGAAAGAGGCGTGATTCAGTTCGAGAGACATGGATGCCTCAGGGTACTGTAATTTTGATTTAACTTCTTGATCTGTCTGTTTTCCGTGTCTTGTGTCTCTAATCTAATAATTTTACTGTACTTACGGCAGGGGAGAAGCTCGAAAAATTGGAACGAGAGAAAGGCATCATCGTCAAGTTCATGATTGGTCACAGGTGAGTTAGATCTCTTCCTCATAGATGTTGCATTATGATTCATGTATATATGCAACGATCTTTGAGATGCATGTTTTCAAGTAAGATGCTTGGTAGTCAACTTCCATAGCAATCACCTCATAGTGGGTGCGTATGTTGCTTTATGGAAATGCATTAAGCATGTATATATATTCACAGCATTCGTGTATTCTATGGTTTTTCAATCGATCCAGACTAACCTGAGCTGTATACAAATTTGTCGGCAGTGCAACATCAAATAGTATTTTGGATAGAGCTATTGATTCAGAAGATGCTCAACACAAAGACTTCCTTCGGCTGGTAAGGAAACGGTAATATTTCACAGGAAGTAGACGGCATTCTTGATTTTTACTGTGTTTTCTTATTTATTGTAGGAGCATGTTGAAGGGTATCATGAACTGTCTGCAAAAACCAAAATTTTCTTTTCCACCGCAGTTGCAAAGTGGGATGCAGAGTTCTATGTCAAGGTTGATGATGATGTCCATGTCAATCTTGGTAAAAAAAAAAGCCTGTTCCTAGCATTTCTTCTTATCTCCTTGGGACTTTTATTCAAAAAATGGATGCTTTTTTAGGACACAGAGCTAAACCTAAACATGGTGTCGTCTCTTTTTTCGATTCAGGTATGCTAGCTTCCACTCTTGCCCATCACCGTTCAAAGCCGAGGGTCTATATTGGGTGCATGAAGTCTGGGCCTGTTCTTTCGCAAAAGTAATTTCATTCGGATTTTTCCTAGTCCCTCAAATACTTGAACTCAGGTTTCAGATTGCAAGAGTGCTAATCGATTTTTCCTATTTTTCCAGGACTGTCAAGTACCATGAGCCCGAGTACTGGAAATTTGGAGAGGAAGGAAACAAATACTTCAGGCATGCCACTGGACAGATCTATGCCATCTCAAAGGATCTTGCTACATACATCTCCATCAACCAGTGAGTAATTCCATGAACTAGGTTTATGAATTAGTAAATGGGATTTGATACCCTGGAGTACAGTCTCATGCCACCCAGCAATGTTTTCATAGGCATATATTATAACATCGTGTTTCGTTTTCGGGTTTAACTTGTGGGTGTAGGCCGATTTTGCATAAGTATGCAAATGAAGATGTGTCGCTCGGGTCATGGTTTATTGGTCTAGAGGTTGAACACATCGATGATCGCAACTTCTGTTGTGGGACTCCACCAGGTAAACTCTAGATTCACCCCAACAATGTGAAAGTAAATTCAATAAAACCCACATGAATGAATACAAACACAGTCACACAAAGCAGACACCAGCAATCTATATCTCTTCTATGTTAAAGTCTCCTTCTTTTACCTCTTGCCCTGAAGATTGCGCATGGAAGGCTCAGGCGGGCAACGTGTGTGTAGCCTCGTTTGATTGGAGCTGCAGTGGGATCTGCAAATCGGTGGAGAGAATGAAGCCGGTTCATGAAATGTGTGGTGAAGGAGAAGGAGCCGTTTGGAATGCCCTTCTCTAATAGGCGAGCAGACTCACTTAGTGCCAATACAAGAAAACACTTACAGTTAGAGCTTGTTCAGACAGCAAGAGGGTGATGGAATGAATGTCTGAAACAGAGTGGAAGAAGAGGATGGCGGTTTTGTAGAGAGGAACTGAGGCAACACAAAATAGAGATACAGGCGAAAAGCTAAGGGAGCCTATGCAGAGAATTTCCCACAGATGGGGAAGTTGCCCTTTTTCAGATAGGGAAGAAAAAGGCTTCGTTGTGACTCTGTAATGCTTATGCTGATAGTTTTTTTTTGTTTGTTTCTGAAGCCGTGAGGATTGCTCTGTGCATTAACCGGTCTTTCATTTGAAATCTGGGCCTGTACCATTTGTCTCTTTTTTTTTTTTTACAAAATTTTACAAGATTCAGGAGGTATTTTTTCGGCCTAATTCCACAATTTTTATTAGTTTAAATTAATGGGAAAAAGGAAATAAGGTTTTTATCAAAGTGTGTGTATTATTGATTGCTGAACGAGTTTAAATAAAAAATATGTATATATATATATATAAAGGTAAAACCCCTAAAAAAACCTCCAACTTGCAAAAATATATACAAATAAACCTTCAATTTGAAAAACTGTCATTTAATCCCCGAACTTGTAACTTACCACTGAATAAAACCCCGAACTTACAAATTATTGTTCTAATAAACCTTTGACCGGTTTGACCACAATTTCAAACGATCAGAAATCCACGTATTGACGGATTGCTGATGTCATTTTTTAAATTAAAATTGATAACGTGTATAAGGTGACATCAGCAATCCGTTAATACGTAGATTTCTGATCGCCTGAAATTGTGGTCAAACCGGTCAAAGGTTTATTAGAGTAATAATTTGCAAGTTCGAGGTTTTATTCAGTGACAAGTTATAAGTTCGAGGATTGAAGGATAGTTTTTCAAGTTGAAGGTTTATTTGTATATATTTTTGTAAGTTGGAGGTTTTTTAGGGGTTTTACCCTATATATAATCGTTTTTTTACTCAAATTTTGAATTCCCATTTTAATATTATAAAAAGTAAATAAAAACAGTACGAAGAATATTACAACAATGGGCACAATGTCTTCATCAAATCGGCAGAAACGAAGAAGAAGACAATACATATGCTACAACAAATGGATAACCGAACTAAGAATCATCCATTCTAAACTTCTATACGTATACTGGTCTGTACAATGGCCATGAACAGTTAACTTACTATAACATGTATCCAAAACGGATACCGACGCAGATTCATGGAGCGTTCAGATCCCCCCGTTGCGGTGTTTTCTGCATTCGAATCTGTAAATTAGGGTTCTTGAGAGAATCCAGCAGAAGCTTTTGCTTGCGTTTGAGAGTTTCGACCTCATTGTGCAACTCCTCGAACTCGTTCCTCATAATTTCTTCGCAGTCCTTGATGACCGCATCGTTCACACTCTCCTTTAGCAGTCTCTGCCTCAATTGATCCATCGAGATCGATATATTCGTCGTTGGAGCCAACAGTTCCTTGTTTGACATCCTCGGAAACATGTCTTTTGTGATCTACGAGCAATCGGAAATCAGAATATGAATCTACCAAAAGTCTAACGAATAGAGATATCTTCACATCGTGTATATATGTATCTCTAATAATACCGTATATACCTGCAAAGCTTCGAGCCAAACTGCTCGGTCGTCATTTGTCACAGCGCGTAAATGTAGCCTCTTCGTTCCGGTGAACATGGTGAATCGCTTCATGTCCGATCTGCTCTGCCTAATTGATGCAACCTGACAGATAATATCAACATATTGAATCCAAAGTTTTAAGGGGTGTGAATGTTATGACTGAAACATCAGCGGGAATTTTGTAATTTTAAAACATAGAAGGGTCGAGTGGGCAAACAAGAAGGGGGTGTATCTTTTTAAATCTAGACTTAGGGGCAAATCCGAAGATGCATTAACAATCTGGGCCACATATTTTTCACAAATTGCGTGTGGAAGGAAATTCGAAAATTGAACCTTGAGATGAATTTCGCCGACAGATTTTCCATGGCATTGAACATCGCCGCGCTTGCTGTGCCGATGAGCGATCCTTAACGATTCACTGCCGATGAGCTTCGATCGCCGGATCACCTCTCCGGCCAGAGAGATCTTGTCCGGACCGTGGATCCTGTAATACGACAAAACTCCGTCCTGGAGAACGAACCACCGACGCTTCCAACCTTGGCCGTAATTCACCCACTTGTAGAGGATTCCGGCGATCCCGCTCCCAACAACGGCGCTCATTACCGTCGATGGCGGCCGATTCTCGCCGATCTGGTTACCCAAGGAGAGGCTATGGCGGAGATCGTGATCGGCCTGAGATGGACGGTTGATGTTCAGAGAAGCGGACCGAGTTGCGATCGGATTAGAAGCGAGAGAAACGTCGGACGACATTGTGAGCGGTGAGTGGTTTAGGGTAGCGAGTATGGAATTGAAGGATGTTAGGGAGAGATTCCGGCGAGATCGCGGAGGAGGAGGACGGTGGTTGTGGCGGATAATAAAGCCATTGTCGATGGAGAGAGAGGTTGCGATGTTTGCGTGGAACGCAAGGACGCTTGAGGTGCCTCGTAATGGAACTTGTTAATACAAACAATAAAATGTTCTTTTTAATTAACGAAGTTACGAAAAGATAGAGACGGGGAAGAAGAAATTAGAGTTGGATAATATATAATTATGACTTTATTATATAAAAATTCAATGAAATAATGATTACTAAAATCATTAAACTGAATACAGAAATAATTGAAAATGATTATTTTAAAAAGAATGTTTTTATTAATAAAAATCGAATTGAGAACCTGCTATAAAAGTTGATTAAATATAATTGAGATCTAACGATTATAATTTTTGTAGAGATAAAAAAAAAACTTTGTTAAATGTTAGAAATAAATTAGAGATTTCTGATTAGTTATCATGATTAAGAGTTACAAAACATTAGGAAACAAGCCAAAATGTTTGTGTTAGGCATCCTTGGACCTTAGTCAAACTCCCCTACTTTCAATTTTTACTGAAATAATATTTATAATCTAAAAATATTTGGTTTCCGTTTTACTTTTCAATTATATAAAATTAATTGATTTTTCAATTATTTATTATTACATTAGGTTCTATGTTCTATAAGCATTCATTTTGTTGCACAATTTTTATTTTTAATTTTTTTTGGTTTTACGTTTTTAACTCGGGTTTCATGAACATATATAATGGGCTTACAAATTGGATATACATAATGGGTTTAATGAACATATAATGGGCTTAGAAATTGGTTAAACATAATGGGCTATCATGGATAGCTCTCTGGTCGTAAGTAATTGGGCTTACAAGGCCGATCCTCTCTCAAATTATATTGATATATATTAGTTTTAATAAAAGAAATCTTAGGCATGATATTTTTTATTGAGACTCACCAAGAAATAGTTGCGGGTAGAAAGAATGACCAAAGATGGAGACTGAAAATAAAATCTACTAATGCAACATTGCGGATTGAGACCCACCAAGAAATATTTGCGGGTAGAAAGAATGACCAAAGATGGAGACTGAAAATAAAATCTACTAATGCAACATTGCGAAAGTTATAAAGATAACAAATGATGATTACATGTAATTATATATCATTAGGACCCAAATGAAAGAAAAAAGAAAAAAGACAGCAATTTGGAATAAATTTACAAAGTAGGGGCCAAAAGTGAAAAAAGTTATAAAGAAGATGGGAAATAATGAGATTTAATTAAGGCAAAAAGCTAAACACGTGAGGTAATTATGCTTTGCACTAACCCCACCTGATTAGCTATCATTCTCTCCCTCGGATCCACCACACCCAAACCTCTTTTCAGCCTCACAAATTCATATACTTTTGCAATAATTGCAAAATATATCTATATCTCTTCGTTTAAATTAAATTATCTCTACAGTATATATATGGACCATATGTATAAATATAACCCGACTACATTTAATAATTAAATAAAGTTTTATGTTTTCTTATAATCAGCTTTCATTCTTCTATCGACTACATCCATCTTAAACCGTGATCAACCTTCACGAGACGTTAATATAAGAAAAAAGATAAAGATGATGATGCCATTACTCCAAAAGACCCAATATGTTTTCTTTTATCTTCTAGTTGCCATAATAATTACTATTTATATAATCAATACCAATAATGTTATTATATTTTTTTTACCATTATAAAGTGTGAGTTTCGGATATTATTTAAATATTTTTTTATAAAAGGTTACCGATATTATTCTATTTAAAGAGTTGAAGAAGGAGATAGACTAATTTGCCTTCAGCAAAGAGAGCTTCGGAGGAACAAAAATGGCGGCAGAGAAGGTAGAGACAGTGATCGCAGGGAATTACTTAGAGATGGAAAGGGAAGGAGAAGGAGAAGAAGAAGGCAACTCTTCTTTCTCTGCCAAGACCAAACTCTCCAAGTTCTTCTGGCATGGCGGTTCTGTCTATGATGCTTGGTTCAGTTGTGCCTCCAATCAGGTATGTACGTACATGATATATATATATAATATCCACGTTTATCAAGTTATTCATGGAGAAGTCATTATAACTGTTGTTCAATGTTTGGTGATTTTGGTTTTTTTCTACATGTGTGGCTTACACTTGTAATGTAACACACACGCGCACATATATTTTGTACATGTACGTAATACGTGTATGTGTATGTATATGTATATGCCATGTTTGTGGAAGGATTCATGGGTTTAAGTGATTAATCGATGTTTTTGGTGGTTAAAGGTGGCGCAAGTGTTGCTTACATTGCCATATTCATTTTCGCAACTGGGGATGCTGTCGGGAATCCTCTTCCAAATATTCTACGGTCTGATGGGAAGCTGGACTGCTTATCTCATCAGCGTGCTCTACGTCGAGTACAGATCTCGGAAAGAGAGGGAGAAAGCCGATTTCAGAAACCACGTTATTCAGGTCTATTACATATCTTATAACGATGACGGTCCATACATACCATAATAAATATTGATTTAATTAGTTGAATCTGTGTTTCGATGGCTTATGAAGTGGTTTGAAGTGTTGGGTGGGCTGTTGGGGAAACACTGGAGAAACCTCGGGTTGGTCTTATATCTTATAACGACGACGGTCCATACATACCATAATAAATATTGATTTAATTATTTGAATCTGTGTTTCGATGGCTTATGAAGTGGTTTGAAGTGTTGGGTGGGCTGTTGGGGAAACACTGGAGAAACCTCGGGTTGGTCTTCAACTGCACTTTCCTCTTGTTTGGATCCGTCATTCAACTCATCGCTTGTGCTAGGTAACTAGCTGTATTTACGATATATTTCTGTTTTTCTCTAAAATTTAATTTTCTTTCTAAAGAAATTAAATTTATATATATATATTTTGTTTGTGGGGGGATGCAGCAATATATATTACATAAACGACAAGCTGGACAAGAGGACATGGACGTACATATTCGGAGCATGTTGTGCGACCACTGTCTTCATCCCATCTTTCCACAATTATAGGATTTGGTCTTTTCTTGGACTCGCCATGACCTCTTACACTGCTTGGTATCTCACCATTGCTTCTCTCCTCCATGGTCAGGTAATTTTCTTTTTCTTTTTTACCCTCGCCAATGTTTCTTAACATTTTCACCATCTCTTTCCATGGACATTCATAGCAAAAAAAAAAAAAAAAAATCACTACAGTGAAAATAAAACGGTGTTTTATTTCTGGTTTTAAGATTGAGGGAGTGAGACATTCAGGGCCGACAAAGATGGTCCTCTATTTCACCGGGGCCACCAACATTCTCTACACCTTCGGCGGCCACGCTGTCACCATGTAAGCATCGCCCTCCAACTTCTGATCTTGCCGGGAAAATACATCGGATTTTCGAAATTGGATCATGTTTTCGACCTAAATATATATACATATACACAAAACATTTATAGTAACTTTTCATCTAGAAACACATGGTTGATCAGTGGTGTAATGATAAAAAAAACATACAAAACATGTTATTAACGCGTTTTTATAGTTCAAATGTGGGGAATGGAATTCACCCGGACTTACCCGATGCTGTGAGAGATGTAATTGAATTAAAGATTTGGTAAATTTTTGGATTATAAAAAAAATTAATCCAGAATATATATTGAAAACAAAGTACTCTACAATGATATGCCTGAAAATTTCACCCCTAATCTCGATACACATTTCTGGGGTTTTCGGTCCATACATAAATTACGAAAATACCCCTGTAACGTTTTGTATGTGGAAGCCAAAAAAGTTCAAGCTCATATACCTGCTGGCGACGATATACGTATGGACGCTGACGTTACCGTCAGCCTCAGCCGTTTACTGGGCCTTCGGAGATTTGCTTCTCACTCACTCGAACGCCCTCTCCTTGCTCCCCCGGACCGGCTTCCGAGACACCGCCGTTATCCTCATGCTCATCCACCAGGTGAATTGACGATCTTGCCCTTTTACGGTTTCTCCAAGCCGACGAATGCTCTTCCTCATATTTATTCGCTTGTATCGACGAAGATGTATTGAACAAGATTTAGAAGATATCCACACTACTTTTATTCGATTTTTTGGGCAGTTTATAACGTTTGGGTTCGCATGCACGCCGCTCTACTTCGTTTGGGAGAAATTCTTAGGGGTGCACGAGACGAAGAGCTTGCTCAAACGAGCATTTGCGAGGTTGCCGGTGGTGATACCCATATGGTTCTTGGCCATCATCTTCCCTTTCTTCGGTCCCATCAATTCCGCAGTCGGATCCCTTCTTGTCAGCTTCACCGTTTACATTATCCCCGCCATGGCTCATATGATCACTTTTGCGCCTGCATCCGCCAGAGAGGTTGGTTTTATAAGGGCACTATCGTAATTATATAAATGATTTAATCTAGGGTTTCTACTGTACTTTCAGCCCCTCCGCACTTTTTTTCGTTCATACGCGCGTCCAAAATAAGTTCGAGGTTCATCGTTTGAAAACATCCTCGTCATAGGATTTCTATGGACACAGAATGAACTCTATATGGATTAAGTTGTATTATTCTCCATGGCACATACAGTGAAATAAGTCACATATTCCGGACGTTATCTCACGATTTCGTATCGAATTTGATCGTTGTATTAACATGAGATTTCTCCGTGACGATGTGAACAGAACGCCGTGGAGAGGCCTCCGAAGAAGGTGGGAGGGTGGATCGGAGCGTACTGCATGAACGTATTCGTGGTGGTGTGGGTGTTCGTGGTAGGGTTCGGGTTCGGGGGATGGGCCAGTTTGCTCAATTTCGTCCGTCAGATTGACACTTTCGGCGTTTTCACTAAGTGTTACCAATGCCCTCCTCCCAAGCACTGATATTTATATCCATATATATATATATATATATATATATATACCCGTTTTTTATCCATCTTCTTCAGTGAAATATTTTTTAGTTTTCCCCCCATTTTTTTTATAACTTTTGTCATCTTAGGGATTATTTAAAGATCATCCTACTTTGCCTGTTTGTATGTGTTTTTCCTATAAGGTATCATGGAAGGAAGGCCAACCCTATTACTATCTGTGATTCGGAAAATTGTCTTCTTCTCTTGGTTATTAATTAAAGGAGGTCCAGAAATGTCACTTGTTCAGATAAAATGATTATCATTAAAAATATTTTTTATATCCTAAAAATCCGACATGTAATCGCTTTTATCATGCAAGGATATGATCATTGAACAAACTGATCTCCAAAGCTTTTCAAAAGGAAGCAACAGGCTTTGATTGGGATGATGGTCAGCCTTTTTTTTTTCAAAGGTATTGATGGATCAATTTTTGGTAAAAAGGGGATTTCATCTCGCTAATTGGTTTGGTGATGGGTGAGTTACACCGCTCATGCTCACCGGTTAATTAACACCATACCGGTTTGGTATATATACTTGTACCAAATCCATTCCATTTTTCTCTCGTCTTGTTTCCTTCTCCGGTTCAATTTGGTTGCAACGAGACGGGACCTTATAGTTACTCTCATCCCATTTATATATTTTCAAATCACATATTGATGAAGAGTTGGGGCGGTTTAGCGGTGTTCAACTTACTGAACCGGATATTATTGGTTCGGTTATGGGAGATGGGGACCAAAGGCTGTCCACCCTTTGACTTGAAAATGAATATATACCCTGCCTTAGTCACTGCCCATTCAACATCATCTATATATAAGTTCCTTGACATTATTTCCAATATAACTAAAAGGGGAATGCTTTTGACTAAAGCTTTGCAGCTTCCATGTTTCAATCTCATGGGTATTGGGACCCACCTTCTTCTAATTGTTTGGTTGCTAAGAAAAATCGAACTATACATTGAGGGAAAAAAACATAAAGATAAACAAATCAAATCATATATTATTGATCATGTACCACATTGCATATAAGTCGTGATTCTAAAAGTTTTGAGTAATTTTTAGAGAAAAAAACACTAGAATACGATGATATATATAAGATCAACGTAAACTTTGTGCACAATCTCCTTGTTAGATTGCGAAAAGTGGAATAAAAACTTTTTGTTAAATGAATTTTGAGAGAGTGAAAAAGAGAGGGAGGAAAAAACGTGAGGATAAGGTTCACACGTGCGTGGGGTCCTTTATTTATGAACTCATCAACCAATTACTGCAATAATTTGTATCGTTTAAAGATGCCATATTTATTCATACATTTCTTCTAAATGCATTAAAACATATCGAAACATATAAATAAAAATATTATCTTTTACATGTAGAAGTAGTCATTTCAATCCGGATGTACAAAATCGAATAGATCGAATCGAACCATACATATATATAATCGTAAATGCGAATTGAATTAAGTTTAAAAGTTGATTGTATGCATACACATGTAAATTTTTTTTTTTAATGCCAAGCAAAGTAAAGCTGCTAAATAACCTCCTTTAGGGCAAGAACAATTAACATGAGATTGGTTTTGGCATGTCATAGGGTATATCATTGTTTGTATTATTCAATAAAGATTAATCAGTCCTTACATCACACACACACACACATGTGTATATATATACATATATCATTACTTAAACCTCTAATAAATTAAAAATATATGTCATAATACCAATGCTTCCAAACCATAATGATACTGTCTAGAGGTTCTCGTTTGTACGTTGTAATAGACACACATAGATAGAAACATAGACCATGCATGTGACAGAAAGGAAAGAACCAAAGACGGGGATTTTGTACGGACGTGGTTGTAATGTTTCTCACAATGAGAAAGAAGCCACCGCGACTCACTGTAGACTGTCATTTTCACACGTACAAAAGTAGTGGGAGCAGTTCACATTTTTATGACTTAATCTGGAGATGGGTTTTTTTTTTCTTTTTTGTAACATCGGGTCTCGCGTTGCGTGTTATGTCCCTGTCTCTTTCCCTTT